GACTCAAGTGAAGCTAATCGCAATCCTTCCCGGGGAATTTTCTCCATGAGGCTAGAAGAAGGAGGAGCCAATCTTCTTCCTTGGTTGGGATTGATACATATAGGATCCTAGAAAATCTGGTGGTCATGTCTCCCACCAGTGGAAGAGATTAGAAATATTAAGCCACCATGCAGAGAGAAGCAGAGTCCCAAGGGTGTTCTGGTCTATGGATCTCATTGATCCTGATCCTCCTGAGGTCTAATTCAGTCCTCTGAGTCACCCTCAGTATCCTTCCAACAAATTCCTGTTTATGCTTATGCTGAAGCAAGTTAAGTTTCTATTATATTCAATGGAAAGAAACCCAATCAATACAATAATTTTCAAAATTTAAAAGGAAGGTAAAAATAACCCTAATCAATGAGATAAGTCATTCGACAATTTTAGGATCCACTTAGCAACGTTTCTACAAAGTGCCAAATTTTAACACTTTTAGCTTATAGTTTTTGTTTGGCAACATTTCCTCCTAATTTTTTAAGAAACAAAATTGGGACTTCATACTTTCTGAGGTCTTAACTAGTTCCAATATTTAAGTGGATTCAAAGATTTTTGCACAGAATATTGGCCTTTCTATTAGGCACCTTTCTGGCCAGTCCACCTCTACAACAACAAGAGACGGCCCTGAATACGTGAAACCACAAGTCTCTTCTTGTAGTTATTATGTAGGCTACCTTCTTCAATTTACTACCCAAAATGATGAGCACTTAAGGCATGTGTGAGTAAATTAAACTATGAGATGATTAAGACCCACTGCATCAGGAAGCACATGAATAATTGAGAATATAGAGTAAAGGACAGGACACCAGAGTAGTGGGGATCTCAGGCCCTGGAACCACCCTATCTGGGGTCAAATTCTGGCTCTGCCCCTTAGAAGCTGTAACTTGTGACAGTTTTCTGACCTCTGTGAATCTTGTTTTCCTCAACAGAAAATGAAGATGATGTTGATAGTACTCCCACTGTAAGGTGGATACGATTACTACACAATATGTAAACACTACATGCAGATGGTGATGTGAGTGTCAGCTACTACGAATTATTATTCTAGGTCCTCCATGGTTCTGGAATCTCATGCTCTATTCTTATTTCTAAAACTGGCTCTTTGGAAAACAATGTACAAAAATCATTTTACTCTAACATTCTGAGAAATGCATTTAATGCCTTGAGGCTGATGATTCAAACAAAGTTTCTGTCTTGAGGAGGAAAAATATAGAGGAAAATGTGTTATGTTACTTAATATCCATTTCATAAGGGCACAAACTAATGTATTCATTTCTGAAATTAGGATTAGGGACATGTTACTCTGCAGAAGATTGTAAACACTTCCTATGAGACAAGGAGAAATGTAAGTATGTGACTTCTAGAAAACTCAGAGCTGTATTAAGTCTCCAACAGCAGCAAATGGCAGATTTCTGACATTAAGCACCATGTATATATTTGCTTCTTTTAATCAATTATGTCCTCTTTTTTTGATAGTTGTTTTTGAAATTGTGGCCTGAAGCCTAACTACATAAAATAGACGATAGATGGATATAGATAGATAGGTAGGTAGGTAGGTAGATAGATAGATAGATAGATAGATAGATAGATAGATAGATAGATAGATAGATAGACAGAAAGATAGACAGAAAGATAGACAGAAAGATAGACAGACAAATAAATAAGAAAAGGAGTAACCAAATAGTCCGAGCCTACTTAGAAAGGTCACAGTAAGTTTTCCAGTAGTTTAGACTATAGAGCATCAGTGCAGACCAGAAAAGCATATTATGATGCAATTGAGACCTGCGGCAAATTTTAAAAACTAAAAGCATAATCTATTTCTTCTTCTACTCTAAGTCTGTTTGGCTTGTTTTTTGATTCGAGATTATCTGCTGTAAACAGATCCTGGTTTACAGACCAACATTCCTTCCAGCTGAAACTCCGTCACCCTGCCTCACACTGGCCTCTGTCACCATGGTCAGTCTCTTTCCTTCCATCACGTTGTAACAGTCAGCGGACGCCCTTGTGGCCTCACATTGTCCGGTCATCATTCTTCACGAGGCTACTTGCAGCTCATACCCGTATTGAAAGACGACATGAAGGCAGAACACAATTCTAACAAGCTGGTCTTGAGGCTGAATTAAAGTTTTCTCTCCCCTAATAGAAATGTTTACATAGAGTCCTTGCTTTAGGTTTTTCATTTTTGCACTTAAAAGAGTAAGGATGTTCCTCCCAAACACAGGAAAAAAGGATTCCATGATCACTGCTGGTTTCCTTGAGTCAGGACTGTATGGCAATCATCCACAAGTTCTGCTCACCCCGTGGAAACAGTAGGAATGTACGGTTATTTTCAGCTGCGCGAGGACGTCATGAGCTTGTCACAAGCCTCAGTTCCCTTCCCCAGTGCCATCTTTCCACTTGACCTACCTGCCCAACAAAGCATCAACCCTGAGTCAATCTTGGGATCTGGCTTCTCAGTGTCCACACCCAGGCTGCGTGCGTAGCTGGGGGAAATCTCAAAGCTGGGCCACGAGGAGATCCAGTGGCGGCTTTTGCTGCTCCCCGAGGGTCTTTCTGCTTCCTGTCCCACTTACAACTACCTCACGGAAGACTTGAGAGCACATCCAGCCAGAACATTCCAGTATTTCCCCTGCAGCTTTTCCGAACATCTCCATTTCCACCCTCCCTCCTTTCAGCCTCAGGAGAAGAGGTGCCCGGCCTCCACCCAGCCCTCTGAACCAGCCCCTGGGAGCACTCCCTCCCTGTGTCTCCTTCAACACCCACCCCCTCAGCATGAGCTCTTGTCCCTCAGCCTGCAAGATTGTGTGAGTCTCTCCCCGTATTTTAAGAAACCCTGCTTTAGCTCTCTATACAGCTCCCTCCTTCCCATCAGTCTATCAGACTGTGACTCTGTTTTACAATCTCTTTTGTGGGCTCCTCTTCTTCCAGCAAACCCTCTGGTGGCCTCAGGCCCTGACCTCAGCTGTCCTACCAGTCTCTGTACTTTCCCCAGATCGTCTCGAGCTCATCACCGCATCCATGCTCAAGACTCAACACTACACCCCCATCCTGACCTGCATATGCCACAGGCCAGCCCCACTTGAAGTCTTCAGATTCAACACATTCAAAATTGAGTTGTTTCATTCAACATGTTCAAAATGGACGCATCTTCTCGCCCGCGTAGCTGCTCTGCCGCCACCATCCTCCCCTGCCGCCCAAACCAGAAGTAGAAGCTGCCTGAGCTGCCTCATTGCCCAGTGCATGCTGCAGGACACACGCTCCAGCACTCAGGGAATCCCGCTGGCCTCCACCACCTTCCTTCTATCCCACTGTCTCCAGTTACTTTGCTTCTTGTCATTTTTGATGAACTCTCCACTTGGTTCTTATCCCTGTGTGACACAAATCCAAGTGTTGAAGAAATGAAACTTTCTTTTATCCTCTATAACTAAACTTAACTTCAATTCCATGTAGCCTCAGTTGTTTCAGCTTCCCTGTTTGTTGTTTCAGCCTCCCTCCTTCAGTTGTTTGAGCCTCCCTGTCCCTGCCCCCTGCCCCACTTTCCATGAGAGGAGAAAGGTGTACAGCAGGGAATCACCACTCCAGGAAGTGTTGGGAACATGTGGTCTCTTCCTAGAGCTGGCAGGATGTGGAGAAGTTCTTGATGCTGTTGTATCCATCTACCCAGGCCGCCATCTCTGTCCTCCATCCCACACACACTAACTCGAGGGAAAATCTTCATGGCTTCCCCTCTCTGGGCTCTACTTGGAAAGCAAGGCTCAAGGGCCTTGTGCTGGTGGATGCCCCGTCTCTCCAGGGCCACGGTTGTGTATCCACCCACCTGGAGGACTCAGCCAAGGGCAGGGAAGGCAGAGTGGTGTCTGAGGAGTCAGAGGGCACAGCTCCTCTGGGCACACCCCACATCCACGGGTCCCTTCCAACTCTCTTTCTTCTCAGCCCAAGTATCCTTGACGACACCTGGGCCTGGAGACTGCTTCAGTCATCACATATTGGTCTAAATCTAATGTTTGTGAATAAATGTGATGTCCTGGGACATTCTAGGTTTAAAGTTTTGAAAGTCAGGGGCTTCCAGAGTGCCAAAGCCTTATTTCAGCCATTTCATTTCCCCTGAGACATCAGATACCATGAACAGTGGAGAAAGAGAAACGCGTACAAGGAAGGAGAAAAGTGGGGATTAAATCCCTCTCACCTCTCTCAGCCCATGATCCCACTGCACCTGGCTGCTGGATTTGTGTCTCCAGGGGCTCTGAGCTCTTTGCCCGAGGGCCAGACCTGCTGTCTCATGCTCCGCTTGACAAGGAAAATTCCAAGGAGAGGTACCCTCAACCCCTCCTCGACTTCACTCAGTGCATTTCGTCATTTACCTCATCTCTCAGATCGTCCCCTCGCCTCCACTCTAACTGCCACCGCCGGCTTAAATCAACTCATTTGCCAAGAAGGATTCCTAACTGTCTCCCGTTTTGCCCCTGACCTCCTCATCTGAGGAGGAAGGGGTCACTGTGAGCAATGACCGACTGGAATTTCCAACCACAAATCTCATCACATCCCCTCCCTGCTGAAATCCATCGTGGAGCCCTCACCTTCAGGACGATTTTGGAACTGCTCAGTGCAGCACAGAAGACTCTTAAGTGGCTGCCCCAGGGACAGGGGTGGCCCTCACCTCCGGGACATGCTGCCTCAGGCACACAGCTGCTCCCAGCAGGGTCTCTAACCGTGTCCTCTCTGTATTTTTCACTTTCCATTCCTTCTTCTTGGTCAGTGCACATCCACCCCCACCACTTGCCTCACCACCTCACCACCCTGCTCCATTCTGAACTCAGTAGAGAAGGCACTAAGAGCAATCAAATGATGATCAAATGATGGTGTTTTTGGAAAGCAGCCTTCGAGAGGAAAGACGCAACTGGTTTTCTCTAGTCTGCCAAAAGGTGGCAGAATAATCCTGGTTTCCTTGCATTTCCTTTTGTCCCCAGATCTTCTCCGTTACTAACCTTAAAGATGCCTGCCTTTCTTCCGTCTTCCTGGAGGGGATGACAGAGCCTGTTTGGCTTTTGAGCCTCGTGTGTTCAGGTCCTGATGAGACTCTGGGAAGTCTCTGGGCCGAAGAAAGGGGATCGACGCCCGGCAGCGTGGTGGTGGGCCCTGAGCGCTCCACCCTTGGGTATGTTTGGAAACTCCTGTGCCTTCCTGCAGTGAAGCCAGGGGTGCAGCATCAGGGCCCGGGATTCCTGTGACCAGAAAGGTGCAGGAGCAGAGGAAAGGTCTGCGGAGTAAATCCAGAGAGCACCTGAAATGGCTGCATTTCCCCAGGTCTGGCTGGCCTGAGTGAGGGTGTTACCGCACAAAATTGGGGTTCTCTGCCCTACTTGCATAAACAAGCCAATTAATTATGGCACCAGCCTTTGAGGGGAGAAATCAGCTTTTATTCTGTGAGATTGATCTCCAGGGAGACAGGGGGCATGTGCCCTCAGATCTGTCTCCCCAGTTCAGGATTTGGGACAAAATTTAGGAGGTTAGGAGGAACAGGTTGGCACATGGAAACGCTGGTGGGACAGGTTTTGATTGGTGGGCTTCAGGTATTTACGGTAAGGTTTTAAACATTTATGATGAGATTCTAAACATTTATGACAAAGTTGGGAAGGAATTTTAACACCGGATCTTCCTGAATGAGGGACCCCTCTCTTCTGATAAGAGTCCGGCTTGGCTTTGAAGTTCCAGTCGCGTCCTGGTCCTTGGGTTCCGTAGAAGGAGGCTCTTTGGTTCCGAGGTCGTTTCAGGTCACGATTTCTTCTTTTGCACATGCCCTGGCTGCGTGACTTTGCAGTTTTTCTGAAAGACAATCCTTAATCACTTTGTTGATAAGAGATGGGGTCTGTTCCAACTGGCTCTAAATGGGCCAGTGGTTGCTAGGGTACAGAAGGGGCTTCCTGCTTCCTGGATGCTGTTGGGGGGGGAGGGCAATATTTCCTCTGTGCCCTGAAGGAAAGCAAGATATGGCACCACACTAAAGGAAGTGGGGACACCCTAAATTGACTGAATTTACTTTCCACCATCGGAAGGAGGGGGCGTTTTCAATGAAATCTGTTTCAGTTACAGACTAGCTTCCTGCATGCCTGTCATAGACTGAGACCCATACCCACACCCCCTCCTCCAAAGATAAATGAGGAGCCCTTATACAAACTTTTGAGTTTTGGAGAGACATAATACAAGTAATCTGAAGGAGTTATTGATTTTTGCTTGAGACCAGGCAAGAAGAAATGGGCTTAAAGTGAGGTGAACCAGATACCAGCTGGACCTGAGGGAGATTTTCTGGAATATAGGGACAACACCAGAGAAAGGATATGATTAGGTTATTTTTAAAGGAGGAGATTGGCCCATAATCCTCCTGAAGTGGTAGTTCATATTTTGGTTCATGATGAGCTAGAATTAATAAATCAAGCCCACACACAGTGTGTACTTCACCAGGAGAAGGAAGTTTGGGCCAACCCCACTTTGGGTCACCCCCACCCCAACCCCTAACTCAGGTGGTCCGAAGACACAGTAACCTCACAGCCAACCCCTGACTCGTGCACAGAGGCACCTCCAGCGTCCAAGCCACCAGATGCAGAGGACACAAGTTTGAGTTTGTGTACCTGTCTGAGCAACAGACCTCATGTACAGCATTTTCTTTTTTACAGCGAGATGGGAGATATGGAGTCATGACTACTCTTGTATTTGACCTAAGGAAACAGTTTAGCCTCTTCTCTGATTACCGACTCTTCAGTTTCTGAGAATACTTGACCAATGGTAGTTATCATTTTGATGATTTAAAGTCTGGTTGGGTATTAAGCACTTGGCAAATATTCCGGGTGACAAGGCTGGTGAAAATCATTTCTCAGTCCAGCTGCCTGTGCCTCTTCTGGCCAGGAACAAAAGTGGTCGTCTGCTTTTTAACCTTCCAGATATGTTACAGTGCAACCCTGTTATTGCAGAATGACGACAGTCTCCAGTTGGAGCGAGCTGGTGCCAGGCTTCACACAGAATCCCAGCCTATTTTAAACAAGTCTAGATTCTTTCATCTCCATTTAAAAAGCAAAGCAAAATTACCGCTGTTTTAACTGCTCGGTTTTAGAAGGTTAACAATTGAATGGAGTAGTAGGAAGCAGTGAGTAGGGAGGAAATCCAGAGAACATGTTCACGCGTGTGCATGCACAAACACACAGATCTGATGAGAGGTGGTGTGTACCAGGCGGCAGTATTTATAGCTTTGTGTAATTTATAGCTTTTAAATGTAATGTTAAAATGCAAATAAAGTTTTTTCTTCCCTGGTGATGAGCTCATGAATAAACCTGAAAAGGATGCTAGGCTGGAGACGGGGATGGGAAGAGGAGGCTGAGAATGAATCAGCGTGCGCTCGCTTTCTCCAGCAACCTTCTCTGCAACCCTGGGATCAGCCCACCGCTCAGCATGAGGACTCAGGGCGTGGCCATGTGTGACACGGCCTGAACAATTCCCGTCCGAGGCAACAGACCAGGAATGCTGCTCAGCCCACCGTGCAACGAAAATGTATGAAATCGCATTAGCAGAAAAACAAGGTTTCTGGGTCCCATCACAGAAAGACTTTTTCCCTCCTAGATGGATGTTCCCTGTAATTGAACAACTGTTGCCTTCTTTATTCCTACCTGAAAGTGGCTTTTACAACTCATAATTAAGGGCAGGATCTTTATAATCCCATCATGATGGAATGTCTTTCTAGTTCCTGAATGCAGTTCATTAACGGGATAGTCAGGGCTGTTTTTTTCAGTGGTTAATTGGACTATAATTCATTTGCACGTCCTTAACATGCATTTTAAGTATATACAAGAAGAACTCCATTTAGCGACTTGCTAAAACACGTTCTAGAAAGCTGGAGTCCTCGATCATGTAAAGCAAACACGACATGAGATGCGATTTGAACTTGAGCGGGAAATCACCCCAGGGAACATAGCTAAAACGAGATCCAGCTTTCTCCGCACTGACATAATAAAATCGTTTTTAAGAGAGAAAGAAATTATACAATATCATAATTTCCCAAAGTTGATGCCACTTCATTAAAACAAAAATGGTATAAAATTTCTGCAAGAGTTCACATTTAGAGTTTTCCCAGAGAGAATGCGCATTTCACAGACGCAGTGCTGGACGATACCCTTCAGTACTCACAATGGACTTTGGGGGCATGGGGAGACTTAAGGGTTAATTTGTTTAAAATTCATGGCTGATTTTTATGGGGAAACATGATCTATTCTACTCACAGGCTGTTAGATTTGAAAGACTGTAGATAGAAAAATTAATTAATGGGTCCAGATCCTAGCTCTTCAGCTACTAAAACAAGCCCAACCAGTAAGTTATCGAATGATACAAAGTTGCAATATAAACACACCTTTCAATCTGAACAGATATTGGAGTTTTGTGCACTCTGCGTTTTAGATTGCTACCCGCTTACACCAAAAGGCTCAGATCAGCCTTCCCGATGGAATTAGCCTTATTTTCCCCCAAAGATTCTATAACGTCTTTTTAATCAATCCTTCTTCATATGGACACTAACCAGGGAAGTTAGTGCAGAGGCTGACCTAGCAGGATCAACCTCTCTCTCCCTACCTGTCCTCCACAGTAACTCTCAAGCGCTGGAAAAACCCTCCAACCCATGGATAATCCAGGGCTCCAGGACCCTTCAGAGAACAGGTTGACAAACTGGGCTTGTGGCAGGCCTTCAACTGTAAAATCCTTCAAATTTCTTCTAAGAATGAATACAGACTCTCAGCTAAAGGCATGCTCCTGAATTGGATAGTTATTCAAAATTCTCAATAAAATAAATGATATTAACTCAATGTTGAGATTTTTTTCCAAGGACGAAAGGTCAGTAAGTCTTCTAAAATTTGTAGAACTGTAGATGGAAGTTACCTTAATAATCATTCACCACTGCGTGTGTATATTATATATATTATATATCTATTAAGATTAAGTGACTTACCCAAAGTCTCTCAGCCAATTGAGAACTCAGATCTCTGTTCTGAAGCATCCAGGTCTTTCTACAGCACTACTCCGCATCTAATGTTATTTATTTGTTATTAAAAGTTGTGTATTGTTATAAATTAAGTGGTAAGTAGAGTTCACTACATTTGTAATAAATCCTTGAATAATAACTGCTTACAATTAGATGAACAAAAAACCCAAACAAAAAAAGCAAGTAAACAAAACCTTGTTAGATAAATTTAAAAGGAATAAGCAAAAATAAAATTTTAAAGATTTTTAAATTCTTGAGCCATAGATTAGATTAAGAGCACGCTGCTTTAAAAATAATTTACTTATGTTCTTATTTTATTCACAACTTATTATCACTATAATCAGCTATAAACACTTTTCATTGTAATTTAAACCTCTTGAAAATAAATCTTAAATATAGTGGCATGAATTTAATTCCATGATATGAATTTAAAATCCATGGTATGAATTTAAAATCCATGTATGAATTTAAATGTAACTGGGGGAATTTTGTTTGGTCTCACCCACTGAATGTATTTTAATTATAATTAGAACTCTGGCTGTTTATCTATATCATTGGAGTAGTTCTTTGCTCTAGTTATTTATATTTTAAGATAAATTTTATCTCACCATATCTCAATGTTACTATTATTATATATAACATGTTATGTATAAAATATATATTAATATATAGACACTATCCAAAATGAAAATCACTTAAAATCATCTAATATATGCTGATAATTGCTAAAACTATGTGGTGTGTTGAAATGTAACACCACTATGGTTTTATGTATGAGATTTAGTTTTGTGAAGGATCTCCAAATTCAACTCAAATTAATTGGCTCTGTCTTGGGGCAAGTAAGCACATACCTTTCTTTTACTGAGAGGATAACAAATGCAGTGTTGTTTTCAATTTTATTTTTAGCCTTAGTAAATTAACAGTGATCTGGTGTCCAAAACCCCAATGAACAAAAGACTGAAAATCCCTTCAGTACTTTATCAGAAATGTAAAAAGTATATTTTACACCAGAGAATACACAAATATAGAAATGTTTACATATTTTAAGTAAACAACAGTACATTTTACCAACACTCTTTAAGATGAAAAATATGATGATAATGTGCATGAAAACATTTTTGCTACAAAAAGTTTAAGGA